GAGCTTGAATCGTATTAGAGGAGCGGAACTTGGGGAGAGGGCAAGGAGTCGAATCAAGCTACCTCTCAAGTTAAGGGGCAGTGGGGGTCTCACAGACTCGCTTAAAATCCCTAACCAGTGACGTGCCCTGACTGTTAATGATGGATGTTCAGTAACAAAACACCAACCTTTTCCCTGACAAATGTTCGTCGCTCGCCTTCACCCACAACTTGGTCCGATGGTTTTCCAATTTCTTTGACGGGTGAACCCTTATCGCTTTTCGGCGTTGACGCGGACTGTGGCACAAATGAAGACGGTAGTGGTGTAGAGCAGGAAGAGGCAGCCTAGAAATAGTAGAATTGAGTAAAATGGAAATTGGTAGTAGTTGTAGCGGCTACATGCCGTTGCAGAGTAGCCAGCAGAATGACTTCGGATCACGTTATGTTACAGAATACCTTCTTTAAAAAATTACCGCGAGCAAAATTTTGTGCTCTTCTGCAATAACCCTGGGATGGGGGGGCATATCTGTAAGCTCCTGGGCATCACGTCAGCATGCAAACTTTTTAAGTCGTGTTATTATGTGAACACTGGACAACAGTATCTCACCTTGGAAGTCCTGCTATTTCTGTCAAGTCCCCGGTGAACTCCTGCGCTATTAAAGACTACATATCCGATACGTGGAGGCTAGTAAGTTTGACCATTTTAACAAGTTCGACAGGAGTTCGTAGGGTGCTTGACAGGTGATAACAAGGCTCACAGGGTGTTGACAAGGGTTGTTCGGTATTCACGTGTATACAGTTAACAGGATTTGGTATGCTGACAAGCGCTTACATATGTTCCCCCCCCCAAGGGTATTAGCGCCCAAATGTATACTGGTTTGCTAGCCTCTTCCAGATGAGAATCACCCATTGCACTTACCCCTACTGATGACGTCCGACCAGGATAAGGTGGTGGCTTCTGCTTTCCATTTGGGAAGTACGGTGGCGGAGGAGGACGAGTTCGGAGCGAAGCGGTAGCGGCAGTGTTTCGTATGGGAGCCCGTGGTGGCAATGCTGATATCATCAGGCCATCAGCAGACTTTTCTGTTCCTGAAAACGTTCAATCTCTAATTCAGAACGAGATTCTTGAGGACGAGATCTTAGGAACGAGACAAAGAGAACACAAACCGTTATAGGAAAGGTGATTGGACGCGAGTACCCGTGATGAGTAGTCCCTTAGTGAGCTACCAACGGCATCACCGCGGAAACGAACAAAATCGTTGTGGATTGGTTCTAAACAAACAGATATTTCGAATTTTATTGCCCAGAGGACAGGATTAATCAAAGTGAGCCTACCCTTGTGGAGTGAAGGTCGACTCATGAGGTGGTGTGATACGGTCATGATCCTCAGACGAAGAGCAGGTCGGTGGAAACGGATCGAAATCGTCGATTCCTGAAAGAGATCAAGAAATGCTATTGGATTCACATGGGGTGAGGTGGAGGTGCTGAAGGTGAATTGCAAAAAGAAAAAAAAAACAGAAAATATTAAATAGAGTGAAGTCAGCGGCGCCCCTAATGCAAGTTATGGTAAACAATCCTAGAGAGTTCTCAACCCATACCTCAAAGTTTATGCAATAACTTCTGAATTTTTGAGAATTTCTGTCCAGATTCCCTCGTTTTAAAATAGTGCCAGAAGATTCGAGGAGGCTAGTCTAGTACTTTACAAATATAACTGGGTTCAGACTGCCATTGTGAGCATATACCATTGATTATTCGTTATTTGAATGTGCCGTACAACAGTGGTCTTAAAGGGACTGAACTAGTTGAAACTACGACTCATTATGACATTAGAGCCAACCAAAAACAAAAGCAAACACAGCAAAACCAATTAGATTCGAGTATTCAAGGAAGCAACGACACTCTTTTCCAAAGGTAAGCATCCAAAAATTCCTGTTACACATACGGCGAATATTTGGTCTGTGCTTTTCCACAGGTCTACCCGCTCTTTTTCTTCTTTGCTAGGAAGGAAAGCCCGCTGTCGCGACGAGGGGATTTTTGCACTTTCACTCCTGCATTAATTCCGTTTTAGGTTTCACTCTTAAGTCTCGTCGTAAAGATAGAAGTAGGCTCGTCGAGTACATGACAAACTGTCAACCCTTGTAGAACTCATGAACAGCTCTCTGATAAATAGCCAAGTCAAATGCCCTCCCCTGCCCCCCCCCCCCCGTGTCACTGCGCCGATGGGTATACAACGAGAAGGGCGCATTTCTACATGTGAATGAATCCATACGATCAACGCGTACCCTTAGGTTGGTTTACAATGCAAAAGAAGCTGCAGTCGTTTTGCCAACCTCTGAACGTGCAAATTACCAGAGGGAGCCATGGGTGCAGCGGCCGCCCAATTCAGGGGTGACCCTTACCCCAACGGAACCTCTTTAGTGGACTGCTGAAATCTGAGCCAAGCAGCGGATCATGGCTCTCGGTGTGGCACCGGGTATGTTCTCTAAGTGGGTGGGAAGCCGCAGGAACATTTTCTCAATCCCTTTCTCACGCCTGTCACATACCGAGCTGCCGCTGCACCAGCAAATGCTTGCAAAAAACTAAGGTCATCAACAAACAGGCATGTAAAACCATCGCTCTTTCAAATTGCACTCAATAACATATAGAGATAAGTCCTAGAAAGGATGGGGCGCATGAGGGGGCGTCAATTGGAGTGCAGCCATAACAGCCTTTCCCGCCAATTGATGCGGACTTAGGATGGCATCATTGGTGGAAAGAGACCGTCTTGGCACCACACCGCGTCACATGTCCCATTGTTTGCAAGGATCATGACTGTGCAGAGCCGGCTGTAAGGAGTGCCACATGGGGCATTTCATCTAGGATGAGACGACGCGGCGAAGACGTTGTTGCGAGCGGCATCGTGCAGACCGCATTTGCACCAGGCCCTAATTGATTTACCAGAGAAATACTGTAGTATATCTGGTCAACTAGAAAATACTGTGCAAGTGAATGTACCGTCCCATATACCTGTGAGTGCCTAGCAAATAAGAAGAGCATTTGGGGTAGTGGGGTCCTGGGTGCAATATGTGAAACAGTGCTGAACTATACACAGAAACAGTGGATCTCGGACAAACTCGCACAACATGACAACAAAAGAAGCAGAGTAAGCGTGTTCTGCGTCTCTTGCTATTCGATCACCACAGCAAACATTTGGTGCAAATGGCTTTCATCTTGAGGT